TAGCTCAGCAGCTCTGCTAGAATTGATTGTAGGGCACACATTATAGGGGAAGAGTTAAGAGTTCTTTGATTTACCGCAAGTTGACTTGCTTTTAAGTTAGACAGTAAAGATTTTGTTTATGGACATTGGGATGGGTATTAAACTTCTTTCTTGTTTTTTTGAGACTGAGCATATGCTAAAGAAAATAATGCCATTTAAATCTCTACAAACAGAACTGTAAATCTTTATGAACTTTTTCCACCCCCACCCCTGTGGGATATGTGCACTTGCCAGAGAGAGACAAAAAGAGGAAGAGAGAAAAGGAAAGTGAGAAATCACTTTCTTGGAGGATAGCCATGGCACAATTCCTTCTCCTCTCCTCTCCTGTCAGGATTTTGGGCACCTGCACACATGTGCCCAGTGTGGTCGCCAAGCGTGGTTCATGATTCACTCGAACCATGAGGCTGGCCATGTGAGATCCAGTGCCTTTGCCTCCACTCCACCTGCTGGCCCAATCTCAGCCCCATGCTTCAAACCTGCACACTTTGACTATTGGTTTTTCATAGTAAGTTGTATTATAGATTTCTATTCAGTAAGGTCCAAATGAGACTTGAGCAAGAATACCTCAGAATTGAAAAGTCTGTTTTCTCAAGTATAACCTCAGACAGTCCCCTCACCCTCATCCCATAGGGGGCTGGAAGAAGATACCTGATTTCTAAGGTTTGCAAGCTACCTAAAATCCCTCCAGCTCCTAGAAGTAGCCAAACGAAGACATGAGAACAGGCTATGGATTCCACAATTGGTCCTCTTCAGTGTGTAATAAATATTCTTCAAGGATGTAAAAGTGCTTTTTGTTTGAAGTACTAAAGTTACATACATGTGCACACATGTCATGAGGTCTAAGCCCCTTGACAAATACTATGTCAAGTAAACATACCATAAAAGGTGTTAGTACATTTAGGTATCCATTTTGCTTGTTTTGTTATTTAATTATTTTATTTAACTTTATTTATTTATTTATTTATTTATTTTAACTTGATCAGAGAGGGACAGAGTGAGGGGGGGGAGAGAGAGAAGGAAAGTGAGAAAGCAAGCCATAAAGTCTAGGATTTGAACTATGGCCAGCTATGTGGGAGTTTAGCTCCCTTAACTACCATCCCACCTGTCAGCCCCAATTTTGCTTGTTTGTTTTTAATGTAGCTTAGGACTGGGGCAAAGAAAGAAAAGGCTGGTTCCAAAACAAGAGAGAAGCTTTGAACAGTTCTGAGAAATTTGTAAGGACTCAAACTTCTGCACTGTGACTAGGTCTATAGGGAAGAAGAGGGGGAAAAAAAAAAAACCAAAACCCCAAAACTGTCTTTGAAACCACTGGAAAAATCAAATACTCTACTAAGGTCTAGGCCTAATAGGAGCCTTCCTGGGAAAAGGAACCTCTACCACCTGATTTCAGGTGTTCATATGAAGCAGTGTCTCAAGGAGACCACATAAAAAGCATTTTACAGAAAGCTATGCAGATTTCTATAAGGGAACAAAATACAATTTTATGGTAAAGATTACAAAATATATGTCATATTATCTGCTTATTTTTTTTAAGTTTGGAAGTAGAAGGATCATCAGTCGATCGCTTTAGAGAAAAACGCCTACAGAATGCTATCTAAAGCAATGAATGAGAGGCCAGCAGGTGACATGAGCAGGTGTTGGACTTCCACATTGCCGACCACAGTTCGAGTCCTAGATTCTGTGGTTTGAAAATCATGCTAGGCACATGTGCGTGCATGCCCAAAATGCCAAGAAGAGAATGGAGAAGGGATTGTAGCATGGCCATCCCCCCAAGGGATGACTTTTCACTTTCCCTCTCTCTGTCTCTCTCTCTGAGAAGCACGTACATGCACCCTATGGTAAAAACCTTTTTTTTTTTTTTTTTTTTTTAAAGCAACTAATAAGATCATCATGTGAAAATGCTAGATTCAGATTTCAAAACCAGGGAACAACATGTACATCTTCCCTATCACACACCCCCACACACCCCCACACACACAATCTGCAGAGATCAATCAACCAATGAAGCTGTTAGAGTTCAGGCCCCTCTTGCTGTAATTCTCATGAGAGGACTTTCACAACCAGGAGCTAGACTTGAGGGGACAGAGGTCCTCATGAAAATAAAGTTGGGTCCATTACACTCCACTTGCCAAGGTAGGAAAGTAAATCCGACACATTGTAAAAGTATATTCTGTTACTCCTCAGCTAAGGGCTGTGGTAAAAAATACTAGTCTGAAATCTACAGCTGCCGTAGTAAGGATATGGAGAGGAGATAGGCAGAAATTTAATTCCAGTGTGGTTCATTCTAAGGAGAGCTCTGTCTCAGGGTGGGCCCACGTTGCATGGTCTGATGGACTCATTAAAGAGTGTGCGAACAGAAGAGGTCCCTAAATGATCGGTATTCTCTGGGCAGGAAAGGGTTGCTGTCACTGTTTTTCAGAATGATTTGTTTTACAACCGTTCTGACTGGTGGTGTTTCCGGGTTGAAATAGCCTGCTCACACACGGGCATGAAGGGAGCTTGGGCATTCTGCCAGAGGCATTCATGCTGAGAATGTCTGCAGGCAACTCCTAAATGGAGCTTGCAGAGCTAGGAAGTGCCAGGACTTCAACCACAGGCAAAGCTGCTGTCTGGAACAGTGGGAGAGAGAGTCAAAGGGCTACTTCCACATTGATCTTTGTACTTTTTATTCCTGTGGCTTCAAGTTTCAGAAACAAGTGGCAGAGGCACGTACATAAACATGTGGGACTGGGAATATGCCAGTCAAATTGTGACAGTCCCGGTGGATTATATACATATATATTTCTTTTTTGGGGGGGGGGTGCAGAGAGGTTTTTGCTATAGGGCATGTGTGCTCACCAGAAAGAGACAGAGAGACAGAAAGCAAGAAAGCACCCCAGGGGGGATGGTCACGCCGCAACCCCTTCTCCTCCATTCTCCTCTCGGGATCTTGGGCATGCACATATGCCCGGAGTGAGTTTAAGCCACCGGGTCTGGGACTTGAACCGCGGTCAGCTACATGGGAGTCCAGCAACATAGCCATTACGCTAACTGCTGGTCCCAGATTTTATATTTTTAAGTCTATTTTTTCTTTCTTCCATGAGAGAGAGAGAAAAAGAGACAGAGACAAAGATACAGGCTGCTGCAGTGAGGTGATCCATGCCGTGATCCACCCTCAGTCCTGGCCATCCTGGATCACAGGCAGTGCCCAGTGTGCTCAGGGAAGTTTCTGCTCTCGAACTCAGGACCTTCCCCATGTGGGTCTAGCTGCACCACCACTGCACCTGGTCTTCGGATTTCAGTACTGAAGCAGGAACTCTCATAGGAAAAGTACCGGATGTGTCTGGAAAGTCAGGTTCTAAGCACATCAGTGTCTTCATGCACAAAACAAGAATATGGTACAACTGGCAGGACTAGGGAGGCAAAGCAGTAACGAACCAAATCCAAACTCCTTTTATCTGCTTTATATTGAGAGGGCTTTCTTTGAGATATTACGTGATGCATAAATTCTGATGTTAATGGGGACGGTTGTCTGTTGATGATAAGACGAATGGCATCTTCAACTGGACTGATGGCAAGTGTGCAATGTTGAGAAAATTCACTTTACAAGCTATAGTGATGTGCAGTGATTGCGTGTCTAAAATAAATTAAAATAAAGAATGGTTAATCAGCCAAAAAAAAAAAAAATGACTAGCTAGATAGTACTTCCCAAGGTCTCTTCTGTCCTAATAGTTAAATATTCTAATACTTAGTAGTTACATTGAATTTCATTCTTCTGAGTCTAGTAGATGTAATTATTGATGCTCACCACATTTTTGCTATTTTGTACAAGATGTGATTTTGAAAACTGCTACATGACAACCATGAGTCAGGGCTTCTTAGTTTGATCCCATAGGCGAACTCTTACGATTCTATGAGACCATTAAGCACAAATGCAAAATGCTGTGGGTACAGGGATGTTGAAAGAAAGTTCAGATCTTTCAAAAGATCCTAAAGGCTAAGTGAAGGAGGTAACAGCACAAGTCCCCCCTGACTGGGTGGGAGTTTAAAAGTCCAGATCTCAAGCTGATGGAGTGAGCACCTACAGAGGCTACAATAAATGACCACCAGGTCCCTTTTAGTCGTCCACCCCTTATAGCTCTGCTCAGTGCGTATACTGTCGTGGCAGGAGAAAGCAGCGGCAGGTGGTCGTAGGACATTCCCCCTTGGTCTGAAACTTTCTGGCATTTGAAAGAAGCCAATGTCAACCTCTCTGGCTTTCTATACCAAATCTCCATGACTCTGATTTGTTATTATGTGGAAAGAACCATGTAGTCTTTGCTTCTAAATCGTGATTCTTTTCACTTATTAATCTGGAGCTTCAGATGGCTCCTGGACCTGGAGGTAAGATTTTTCTTTTTCAAAAAAGACACATTCTAAGTTAATGTGTAGGAATGATATGAGGAAACCCACACACACAAATGTTTGGCTATTCGAAAATACCTTGCTTTGAAGGGCTCAGACAATGACCAGGGGAAGCTTCTTTTTGAGTGCATTTTCGGTGTTATTTTGTGTGACTGTTCCTTTTATAATTCAACAGCACACACTTCCATGGACATTTAAGTCTTAGTTCAGAGGAGAATCACCCAGGGGGAAGAATGGAGCTTTCATCTGAGGCAGTAGGCAGGAACTGGCAGCAGCGGGGAGGGCTCTGATGGAGCGTCAGGTGTCTAAGAGAAGCCTCCAGACACATTGAACCATAGAATTGTAGACAGATCTGTATGGCAAAGCTGGATCTGGGGATGTTTACCCATAAGCCACTTGCATGGAAAAACAAAGCTTCTTTCATAAACTGCTAACTCAGACACTGCGCGCCACCTAGAAAAACAACGGGGCATGAAACCCAAGACAGACAGACCACTCTGATTTCACTAGAACTGCGAGCTGATTCGAGATACCGTGAGTGGTCAGGATTTAACCTTTCTGCTCTTCTTGCATTTCAGATGCTGCACAATAAACACGTCATGGTCCGTGTGGGAGGAGGATGGGAAACCTTTGCAGGGTATTTGTTGAAACATGATCCCTGCCGAATCCTGCAGATATCCCGTGTGGATGGCAAGACCTCCCCCATCCAGAGCAAATCGCCAACCCTTAAGGACATGAATCCAGACAATTACTTGGTGGTGTCTGCCACGTATAAGGCTAAGAAGGAGATTAAATGAAACTAACCAATCACTACAAGGAGACTCTCATCATGGCCTGTATCCACTTCTCCAGTGTAGCCAGTTTAGTTCATATGCTCTAAACCCGACTTTGGAAAAAGGTATACCAGACAGGAAAATGTCCTATTAAAAATGTTCCAAGAGTAGCACTATTTATTTTCAATGCTTCTGTAGAAAATGACTTATTAAAAGAAATTCTAAACTCAGATTGAAATTAGGCAATAGTAGGCCAATGATTATTTCTCAATATGTGAACACAGTATTTAGAACACAAACTCTACTAGGCACACAATTGTCTGTAGCTACAGGTTAAAAACTATAGATATGAGAAAAATGTCAACAGAAAGTGCTTGCTTTATGCCTGAGTGGAAGCACCGCAGACAATTGTATAACGGAGGGATTTTTAAGCTATTTTTTACAAAGCAATAACTAGAGTGATAATGTGCTACTAGAATATTTGACCACACTGTAAAGAAGTACAGACAGTTCATGACAGTACTTTACTGGAAGGGCCACTTTGGGAAAGTTTACATTCATTTGGAAGATTGCCTTAAAGTTTATCTCTTATCTATGACCAAATATCTGGGGTACTTTTGGAAGTTTTCAGTACACCCCCTTCAAGAATACCTTACGAGTTATTTCACAGTTTCTATGCACATGGCTGTGTTGAGAATGACTTAGTGTAATTCACACACATAAGCTGATACACATTTATATTTTGACAATGAGTAAATTGTACAGTCAAGTGTTCATTGACTTCATGTTATTTTAAAGCATTTTCTTACTCAAATATATCTTTAGTTAATCCTACTTTGCTAAGCTTTCCAATAAAGTAAATTCACTGTAGCTAATGGTGTTACAGACGTATGTATACCCTTGTATGCCTGGGACAGGGCTGTTTTGTACCAATAAACAGCAAGATAATTGTCCTCCCTGATTCAGTAATTAAAAAGATAATTTTGAAAAATGTTATGTCTGTATTTCAATGTCTCTTTCTTATCTTCAAATGGCAATAAAGTTAATCTTCAGATGGCAATTTACCTGAAAGTTTTAAGAGTCCAAATATGGTTATTTAAGACCCCTTCCCTTTGGGAAGGTGAGTGGTAGGGTTGTTTATTTGCCCTAGTAGAGAGCTTAGATTTTATCATAGGTAGAACCTTAAAGGCTGCCTTGAGTATCAGAATTACAGATGGAGTTAATATCTCATTTCTTCATTTTTCAACAATGAAAAAAGAAAACCTTTATTGCTCTAAAAAGGCAAGGGGGAGGAGGAATTTTTTTGTCAGTTAGTCAAAATACACACAGCCTATGGGCCAGCTGGTAGCATAGTGGTTAAGCCACTGAACTCCCACATGGCCAGCCATGGACTGAGTCCAAGATATTGTGGCTTGCTTTTTCGCTTCCCCTCTCCTTCTCTCTCTCTCTCTCTGCCTCTCTCTGGTGATCACATGTGCCCTATAGCAAACTTACATGAAAATAATAAATAAAATGAATTATTTTAAAAATAATAATTAAAATATGTATATAAAACCTGTTAATTGAAAAGTTTAAAAAACAAAAGGCCTAGGGACCAGCAGTTGGAGTAATGGCTATGTTGCTGGGCTCCCATGCAGTCAACCGCAGTATGAGTCCCGGGCCCTGTGGCTTAAACACATCGGGCTCATGTGTGTGCGTGCCCAGGATCCCAAGAGGAGACTGGAGATGGGATTGTGGCATGGCCATTCCCCCCCCCCCCCCAGGGGGGGATTTCTCACTTTCTGTCTCTCTGTCTCTCTCTTTCTGGCGAGCTCATGCACCCTATAGCAAAAACCTCTCCAAAAAATAATAACAACAACAAAAGAGGCCTAGGATAATTCGGTGGTTCTGAATTTGGTGGGAATCATTCTGGAAGAATAAATGTCAGTGAAACCCCCTCCAAAAAAACTTAAAAAGAAACAAACTAGAGTTTTTATGGGAGATAAAAATCACTTTAGAGCAGTGAATAATTTTAATATCATTTAAATAAACTCCAACTTTGTGCGGTTTAATTTTTAATATTACCAAACTAACATTAGCACCAAATTTCTGTGTAGTTGATAGTATTTCTATCAAAACTACTTTCTTATGCTTACATTTTTTATAAACATAGTTATGTCTTTAATAAGTAAATTTTATTAGCTCAGTTCAAAAAATATAATCTAACAAAGAAACTATGAATCTTTATGCATTTGTTATTGCTATCATAAACCACCACACATTTGATGAGATTAATCCAATCAAATGTATCCTCTTACAGTTCTGTAGTCAGAATTTTAAGGTGGCCTCACTGGTCTATGATCAAAGTGAAATGTCATTAGGGCTGTTTTGTGAAGAGTTTAGGAGAGAACTATTCCCTTGCCAGCAATCTAACTTCTCTCGACCCCCTCTTTTTCTTCATCTCTCCCCAACCATGTGTTGGAAAGGGTATTTGCTTTGAAGGGCCCATGTGGTTAGATTGGGTCACCTAGATAATTCATTTCAAGGTCATTAACTTGAACACAATCCCCTCGGTCATGCTGAGATCTCACAGTCACAGGTTGCAGGAAATAGCACATGAACGTAGTTTGTGAGGTGAGGATTATTAGATGAAGAAAAAGAGGGGGTTGAGAGATGTTATATTGCTGGCTTTAAAGATGGAGGAGGAGGTCCCGATGAGCCAAGGCAGGCTGGTGGCCTCAAGGCTTAGAAAGACAAGGGAACAGTTCTCTCCTAAACTCTTCACAAAGCACAGCGAGAAATCACCCCCAGGGGGGATGGCCACGCCACAATCCCCTCTCTTCCATTCTCCTCTCGGGATCTTGGGAACATACACACATGCACTCAGCATGAGTTTAAACCACCGGGTCCTGGACACGAACCACTGTCGACTACTTGGGAGTTCAGTGACATAGCCATTATGCTAACTGCTGGTCCCATCTATGGCTCTTCTTAATCCCCAAGAGATGAAAGCATTCCTAACCACCAATCCAACCTCCCCTTTTCAAGATACAGGAAAGACACATTTTGTTACAGAGATAGCCCAAGCCAATTTTTATGTAGGAAAAATGTATATTTATCCTCCCCCCCAAGGCAATACAGAATTTCTAAGAAAAGCCATGTGGGGGAAAACTATTAAATAACATTCCAAATATAATCAGTAGAAAAACAGAACCACATACAGATGTTTTAAAAACATGCAGAGCGTCACAAAGGAGCTGTGTAATGATATACAAGTTTCCATTCTGAGATAGTTTGATGATTAGCATTCAAAAGAAGTGCCATAACATTTTACATTTTAACATGATGGTGATATACATACAATATACTCTTTTGCCTATATTTTAGTAATTTAGTTGGGGAATGTGTGTATTTGTGTTTATTGAGAGGGGCGACAGAGAGGCCACCCCTGACAGGGTCTCACCATGGAGTGATCTCCACAAGACTTCTAGCCTATCAGGATCCGGGGCACCCTCAGCATATTCAAGTCGACTCAGGACCTGAACCCCAGGTCTGCCCATATAGTTCCAGTATTGCACAGTGGCACACTGTCACTTGTGCCTGGGTGACATATTAAGCTGATGTTCTATTTATGAATTATGGGAAATTGGCAGCGACTTAAGGTTTCCATGGGAACGGATCCATAAATTTATGAGGAAAAGGATACGTGTATTTCTTCTTCTCATTTTATTAATAGCAATGATTGGTTTCCTATCAAGCATCCAATCTCCCCTTTATCCTTCCCCTTCACAACAATATACCTAACATTTAGGCATCACCTGTTGCTGCCTGTGGCCATGTGGTTTTAACAAAAGCTCGTCCCACACATGCAGCCCAGCCAAGTCCGGCAGGAGCAGCTATCCCATTTCCCCCAGAAAGCCAGAAGTCATCTACCTGCATAGCATTCGTGGTTCAACAGGAGATGAGCCTGGAGTTTGGGTGTAAACTGCTGATGGAAGCAAGGCATTAGCCACCGGGAGTAAACCGCTTGTTTATACTGACCCAAATTCTAATGATTTGAAATGTAATGAAGAGAATATTATTCTTTCTGTATAAAATAGAAGGGAAGAGCTGCACAGCTGGAGGGTGAAGCTCTGGTCCTGCATCTGCTCAGCTGTTAACATCCTTTCCTCTTTCTGTCTTGGAAAAACTAATCATTTTAATAAAGTCGAGAATTTTATTTCTAAAATCCAATTCAGTCATGTCACTGTTCTTTATGAAGAAAAATAGCACTAATCTACAGGACGAAGAAAATGGAGTCAAACTATATGCTTTGCCCGGATATTCATAGGCTATTTCATACCACAAGTGAAAAATTCATATTTACATGAGGAGTGAAAGGTCCTGTGTGATGATTCGAACTCTTTACAATGACCATGCGCAATATACTGCAGTGGAACAGCAGTCTTCTGGGAGGGCTGGGCAAGGTCATGGCTGTTTCCTTTTCGTAAACTGAGCTGCTCTATCTAATTGACAACCCCTAATGGCACGAGTATCTGAATTCTAATTTAGGGCCTAGTATGTTGCCATTTAAGAGTAAGCAAACATGGCCCCAGCAGCTAGAGTAGTGGTTACATCGCTGGACTCCCTCATTGCTAACAGTGGTTTGAGTCCTGGACCCGGTGCCTCAAAACTTGCGTTGGGCATGTGTGCATGCCTGCCCAAGATCCCGGGAAAGAGAATGGAGGAGAAGGGATTGTGGCACGGCCATCCTCCCTGGGAGGTAACTTCTCACTTTCCTTCTCACTGTCTCTGTCTCTCTCTCTGGGGAGTGCACACACCCCAACCAAGGCAAAAACCTCTAAAACGCATAAAAGCTAATAGCAATTCTTCTATTTCGGCTTATTATATATTAAAAACAAAATAAATGCCATTAAAACTCATGTTCTTAATCAACAAAAATCTATAAAGTTTATAACTATGCATTGCGTAGTTATCTTTTAATATTTTTATGTTTGAAGTAGACCTTTTTAAAAATATAGTACCTACATACCAAACTTACTTTGGCAATGTCACATCTGTTTAAGTCTAATCATCATTCTTTAATAAATACAAAAGAATAAAAATGCTTAGGAAATTTGACAAATAAATTACCAATCACTATAATCCATCTAGAGTCTTAGTTCAACTCAGTTACTACAAACATGTTTAAATAGAGCTGAATCCAACATTACACACCAGTACATCACCAACCTCTGATGGTACCATTAATATATCATTTTAAATTCAGCAAGCAAAAATACTTTATTATAGTGGAAAACATGATATGCTAATTTTGTAAGCTACAGAAATAGGAAATAAATGAGGAGAAATCTCAACGCCTGCCTACAAATATTCTTTACTTGGCAAGTTACAAAAATGTACAGTGTCTACAGAGTTCATTCACATAAGCCCTTCAGATGATTTTTCAATATTTTCCCTGATGATCAGTTTAAAGGCACTAAGTCCATAAGTTTAAGCAAAAGTCTCCACATAGAGAAATAAAAGTGAATGTGAAGCTAAGCAGGACAACTGTAAGTAGCTCGGTCATTTTATAAAGGAGAAAAATATAACTGCAAATTTTAATATTCGAGATGAGTACAGAATTTTTGCATGCAATGCACATATTTATTCACTAGTTCGGTATGTGTTTTAACTACTAAAAAATTGGCAAATCACCCTGTACCTGAAGAAGATCAAATCTAGGAAGATAAATATGTAATGAGCAGTCTGGCCATTCTCTAAGTTTGAAAATCAAGAGTTTTTAACGACATCTCCAACATAGATTCAGCCCTGCATTTAAGGGCACTAATATTACAAAGTTTAAGTCTTCATTTACTCAAAAAAGAAGATATTAAGGAAGTCCATTTGATTGCAGATACTAGAACAGTTATTGGCAGTAGACTCTTCCACTCATGTTATACTTTATGAAACTGTCCACTAGAAAAGATAAAAATACAGAGAAATATAAATTTCTATACCAGCATTTCAGTAAACAAACAGGAAATAAAGAGGAGTGCAGGGCATGGAAATATAAAAGGATTTTTGTGAATAACCATTATTAAAATTTCAATTAAAAATGTTCTGATACACCGAGTCACTGTATATCATTACAGCTTACAAGCTAAATGGTCCCACCATGAATACACTACATATTAGTCCAGTAAAAGACGTTATCACATTATTAACAGATAATTGTCCGTTTTTGTGTCCCTTAAATGTGTTGCTTCTCTTTTTTTTCCAGCCAAAAGTACGAAATAAAATAATATATAAATATAAATAAGACAAAAGATCTGAGTGGACCCGAAATAAAATAATAGTTTTAAAATATAAATAAGACAAAAGATCTGAGTGGACCAATGGGCAGTTCTGTGAGTGGCTTTGGTGAGACCTGCTGTGGTTGTGCCCTTTCTTGTCGGAGTTCTCAAGAATAACTGCAGAACCAGAACGTCCTTGGAGTGAACCGTCCTGAGGGAGGGACTAGCAGAACAGCCTGGGCTCAGCTCCAGCCCCCCACCCTCCCAAACATGCAGCTTCAGTGCCTTAGCCCAAAGTGTAATGTTTCCCCCAGGGGCATAAAACCCCAGGCCAGGGGCCAGCAGGTGGTGTTATGGCTGGGGCGCTGGCTCCCACACAGCCTACAGGGATTCTAGTCCCCCTGGCAGCTTAGCTTGTCTTCTCACTTCCCTCGCTCCCCCCCTCTCTCTGTCTCTGGTGAGTGCATGTGCCCTATAGCAAATCAATAATAAATCAAATGAAATAAGTAATTTTTTTTTTTAAAAGACCCAGACTAGACAGCAGCTCCAAAAAAACTCTTGACTAGGGCCAGTAGGTAGTGTTGTGGTTGGGGATTTCCATGTGATCAATGATGGTTCAAGTCCCAGACCTGGTGGCTTGCTTTCTCAATTTCTCTCTCTTTCTCTCTCTCTCTCTCTTTTTATTAGGTATAGCAAATTAAATAATAATAATAAATAAATAAAATTAAATAAACAATTCTTAAGAAGACAAGGTATAGAAAATTAAATAATAATAATAAATAAATAAAATTAAATAAACAATTCTTAAGAAGACAAAAGCAAACCCCTTGACCAAGAGTTTTGAGGACTAAGTTACTCTCCACCTTGTGTTTCCCCTCGTTACTCCCAGGCTCACAAACGTCTGTTGAGCTTCGTGCTCTCCGTGTGCTATGCTCATGGCCAAGGGCAAGGAAGCATGTCCTTCCAGCCAGCATTTGTGAGGCAGAAGTGACCAGGAGTCTTCTAAGGAAACAGCAGTGGCTTTGGAGAGTGAGCCACTCTTCTTGAGAAACCCTGCTGCCACCATCCTGCTGCCACTGTGGTGAAGGTCACTTTTATTGAATCTGCTAGGGAGATTTCTTGTAAGACTAGTAAACAGAGAAAAAGAAACTAAACTGAATATTGGAAATGTTTTTCATTTTGAGCATTTTTGGAGAGGACCAGAAGTAATAGCCCGGCTACATTTTAAAGTTTTTATGTATTTATTCCTTCCGTGGGAGACAGAGAAAGAGAGGAGAGAGGAAGGCAGAGCCAGACAAACATTCCTCAACCGGGTCTTCATGTAGCCTCCCTCCCCCCTTCCCCAGTGGGCCTGGGCTTGTAGCCTCCCTCCCCCTTCCCCTGGGACCTCAGGGCCTTCCTGTGGGCCAGCACTGCACTGCCAACTGGCCACCTAGGATCTTTCTATCTTAGTTCTAACTACATGTACATTAAAGTAGCCTTTCTTATTTCTTTTTTTTTTGTTTTTAAAGAGAGGTTTTTGCTATAAAGCATTGAGCTCACCAGAGAGAAAGAGAGAGATAGAGAATGAGACAGTGAGAAATCATCGCCCTGCAGGGAGGGTGGCCACACCGCAATTCCTTCTCTTCCATTCTCCTCCTGGGATTTTGGGCAAACATGCACACATACCCTGCATGAGTTTTAAGCCACCAGGTCCGGGACTCAAACCCACGGTTGACTACGTGGGTGTCCAGTGATATAACCACTACACCATCTGCTGGTCCCAAGTATTCTTTCCTTAAAACATTTCATCTCATTTTAACTTACTCAGTACCTCCTCTGTGAACTAGTGGATCTCAGTATCATTTCCTGTCCTACCATTTAATTTGCTTTGCTTTCTGTTTGACTTTGACGACTCTGTATGAAGTAAAACTGGTAAAAGAAAATTTTACTTTAACAAAGTAGTAAAAATAGAAAATCTGTAAAGAAGAATTGATCTTGCTGTCTCCCAGCCCTTTTTCTTACACTGGATCTACTCTGTTCTATTAAAAAATAATAATAAAATAAATAAACAAAAATGTCAGGGTTTGTTTTCGTTTTTGTTTTTGTTTTTTTCTTTTCTATCCCCCCTTTTTTTTTTGGTCATAGGACGTGTGTACTTGCTGGAGAGACAGAAGAGACAAAAAGCTAGAAATCACAGAAATCACCCCCCGGGGGGATGACCATACCACAATCCGTTCTCCATTCTTCTGTCAGGATTTTGAACACGTGAGCACATGTGTCCAACACGAGTTTTAAGCCACCAGGTCTGGGACTCGAATTGTGGTCAACTACATAGGAGTCTAGCGACATAACCATTATGCCAGCTGCTTGTCTCAAAAATATCAGTTTTCTACCTTAATATCAAAACCAATTAGTTTATGTATTTTAAAAGTTCACCATAGAAAAATATACGCATAGAAACACACATACACACACACACTGGTTTTATTTTCGTTAAATAAAGTTAGAGGTAGTTTACAATGGTTAAATACACACTGATGTTGCCTATCTCTCTGTGGCATTTGTGAGTCACAGTGCATTCCGGATGTGCCTAAACTGCCTCTTGAGTTAGAGGTGTGTGGTGTGTGTGTGTGTGTGTGTGTGTGTGTGTGTGTGTGGTTTTAAGAGCAGAAACAACTGGCTCACCAAGATAGGGAATCAGCTTAAAAGTTTCATAAATCATTGACAAATACAAATAACTGAAATGAGGAACACTGTTCTCACAACTGTGTTTACTCATGAAAAGTTATTTCCTTTAAAAATAAACGAGGAATAATAATTGATCCATTACTGTCTTGAGCTTTAATGTGTAAACTATAGCCCTTTACAGTCCTGCTAAACGATAAAGATCTCGGAGTTGGGGGCCTTGTTTCTCTTGTTCATTATTATATTCCTAGTGTCTAACTCTGCGGTCCACCTACTGGGTGGTACACGTGCCTGTCCCACACACACCTGTTACACTATGACCCAAATGAACATGCATGTAAGGATGGTGAGTGACAGCACGAAGACTAAAGATCTCAATTCACTAAGTGAAAGTATTTGGGCTACAGAGACACAGAATTTCAAGTATAATCCACTTTAATACAATTGCTGCATACACAGAGGTTAGAAACGATGTCTGCCAAAATGATACAGTTTGGGTGGTTTTCACTTTCTCTACTGCTTTATATTGCTTGAAGATTAGTATTAAGTATAAAAGTATTGGGACCAGCAGATGGCAAAATGGTTATGTCACAGGACTCCCACCTAGTCAACTATAGTTCCTGACCCAGATCTGGCAACTTCAAACTCATGCCAGGCACATGTGTGTGCGTGGCCAAGATCCCAAGGGCAGTGATTTCTCACTTTCTGTCTCTCTGTCTCTCTCTTTGTCTCTAGCAAGTACACATGCCCTGTAGCAAAAATCTCTCTTAAAAAAAATTAAGATATAGTGTTATTCTAATCAGGATATATTGATTATTTTCATTTTGAGGAAAAGAAAGCAGATCTATTCCAATGAACATTAAAACTGATCCTTCTTCCAACCTACTCAGGCTTTTAAATTACTTCAAATGTTTAAAATTCATACCTATATGAATATGAAAATATATCAGGAAAAAAGTTTACATAAAACTATATGATATGATCCAGTTTTAAAACTTTGTTTTTTTTTTTTTAATCATTTTCTCCATTTTTAATTCTCTATAGGGTTCATCTGCTCACTGGAGAGAAAAAGAGAGAAAGTGAAAAGTACTTCCCAAGTGGGATGGCCAGCCCACAATCCCTTCTCCTCCATTCTCTGCTCGGGACTTTGGGCACACATGCACACACGCCCAGTGTGTCTTTCAAGCCACCAGGTCTAGGATTCGAACTGCAGTTGGCCAAATGGGAGATAGCTGCCTTAGCTATCACACCAGTAGCTGCCCTGTTTTATAATTTCTTATTCACATTTAATCATCATACAGCTCTACAGCAAACAATATGGTTTTACAAACTATGCAAGGAGTATGCGACAATCACATCAAATGATGTACTGTATACATCATTTTCAACAGAGAACTTTGCATTCTTACGACGGTTTAACAGTTCTCCCCAGAGCCCTTCCCACTCACCCCTACTACCCGCCCCTCACCGCCACCACCCTGCACAGTCATAGGTATTAAGGACTGCATTGCTACTTCAGTTTGCTAAAATGCCCGGTAAGTTAAGTCTCAAGTCCATTTTAATACTTACCCTAAGTCCGCCTTCTGCTGGAGGCCCAGATGTAGCCATTTGTTTTTCCATTTTCTCCTTTTTCTTCCTCTTTTCTTCCACAGATCGAACATCCAGAATTCCCCGAGATGCAGCCTTTAGGATAAAGGATACAGAAAGAATAAGTAGTAGTACCCGTGTGCAAAAGGTGTTTGCTTTCGTCTTCTATATTTTTCTCTGGGAGTGAGAAGTTGGTTTATTTTTGGTAACAACAAAAGAATTATAATATTTCTACAACAGCCTTTCATAAAACTTACTGTCATTTCTTCACTGGGTATTTTGTAACCGTATGCAATTTTCCTGTGCACTTACTTCCCATCCACCTACTAGTGTTCTACAAAGCACAGCCACTTTATCTCAGAATTAAAGGAGTCTCCCGACTCACAGGAGACATCTGTAAGATAACTGTCATAACTAAATTATATAAATACATTAATGTCATTTATAGAGATATGGAAATTATTTTGACAATCATTACCTTTAACTATAAATTTGTAGGATATCAGACCCCATTTACATTACAGATTACTAGTAATGGACATCTATGGAAAATATGGTACCAACCTAATTATCTAAGTATACAACAGTATAATATTATTTTTAGATTTGATATAAGGTTTGTGCTCTTGACACAGAGAGAGAGAGAGAGAGAGAGAGAGAGAACCCCCCCCAAGAGGGAATGGACATGCTGCAATCCCTTCTCCACTCTCTTCTCAAAATTTTTGGCAAGCAGACATGTGTCCAGTGTGTTCTACGAGCTTCCAGGTCCAGGACTTGAATCATGCAGCCATGTGGGATCAGCCACCTTAACCATCATGCCACTGGCTGGCCCCAGAATGATTTTTTTTTTTAAGGTTTTTGTCACAGGGTGTGTGCGTCAGAGAGAAACAGAGAGATAGTGTAAAGGAAACAGAGAGAGACAGTGAAAGGAAAAGTGAGAAATCACCCCTAAAGGGCTGGCTATGCCACAATCCCTTCTTCATTCTCCTCCTGAAATTTGTGAATGCACGTGCACACCCCTGGCATGATTTTCAAGCTGTGGGGTCCAAGACTCTGCAGCCGGCCATGTAAGTCCAGTGCCATAACCTGTTGACCTCCAGAATGATATTTTTTATCTTACCTCCTTTTGTCTTCTTTCCGCAGCCTCTGCAAGCTTTGCTCTTTTCTCTTCCTAAGGAAAATGTATAAGAATGTTTTAAAAATAAAGCCGATTATCATCATAAATAAAATACACACCTATACTTTACAGCTCATGCTTACAAAAACATTTAGTATGGGCCCCAAATGTCTCATGAAGAATGCCACTATTAAAACATTTATGAAACATTCAACTTTCTGAATTTTAATACTGTAGTCAATATAACCTTCAAATCATCACATGCTAAGATAAATATAAGCAGGTTGCCTTCTATACTAATCTTTTTCCTTTCTCTAAAAGGAAAAGGCTTGCCAACTAGTTGGGGCAATATTAAAACAAATGATGTTTAAAAATACAGGAGGGAAACACACGGTCTGCTACTGCCAGTTTTAAAAGGAGGCTGCAGCAGGCAGTGTCTCCATGAGAGGATCATGAATGAAGTGTGCCCACCTCATTGTGCAGGAGGGGAAGGAATGGTGGGAGTTTATGAAGCTACTGCTCCTCATTAGGAAACAGTGAGCACTCTCTATACCACGTATTACTTAATAATAAAATATTTACATATAGAAGACAATACGCATTCTCCTGCAGACTGGCGTAGTAACTTCCTTGTTCCCTGTAGCACAGTGCACACATTCACCGGCTGGACGCATATACGAAGCACAATCATGCCTCGGGAACTTCTCTAGGTGCTGGGGTACAGCAGCAAGGAGACACACGTGTCCTCCCACAAGAAACTCAAATTCCAATGGGGGTGCACAAACGCACCAAGTAAATAAGTATCCAACAGGTGGCAGTGGGAGTGTGGAGGAAATATAAAGAGTACGTTGACTAAATTATGGGAAGAGGAGTCCGTGGAATAGCGGAGGTCTAGTTTATTTAGGGTGGTGAGGGAAAGCCTCACTGATAGTGACATGGAAGTGAGCCATGTGGTCAGCCATGGGAAAGGGCCTAGCCTGTAGATGCCAGACAGCTTCACAAATACAGGCAGACGAAATGAACACATTTAAAAGCAAAAACAGCAGCACAGACAAGCTGAACTTTCTTTCATCAACCTCTGGGTCATTTTAGTACTAGGATCTAATAGCCAAAGGGTTTATGAACTCTCCTAAATTCTCATTTTCTTCCATTATTTTTTTTACATTATTTTATTTAACTTTATTTATTTATTTATATTTGACTAGAGAGGGACTGAGCAAGGGAGAGAGAAAGTCACCAGGTCCGGGACTCGAAACACAGTTAACTATGTGGAAGACCAGCGCCCTTAACCACCACGCCACCCCGCCAACCCTCTTCCACTCTCTTTTAGATAGATACGAGAAAAGAGAACTCTTAGGATTTCCCATGGTATCAAGTGCTTGTAAGGCGTACTTCTATAAAGATACTGTTAATAGCGGAAAGCTACAAAAAGTCTACTCAGCGTGTTTTACTACATACCACCCAGTTGAATTTCAATGTACTACTTTCGTATAAATATATCCCAAATACTGCATGGGACAAAGATAAGTTTAACATGTTTTCCTTGTTTCTCTGGAATTCAAACGTAACTGTGTTCCCGGTAGTTTTACTTGTCAAAAGCCGGTAGGCAACCTTACAAATGATATGATCTGTAGTATATGAAATATACTTAAGAACGTAAAAGAACGATAAATACTAAAAGGAAATCATGGACCAGTAACTATCCGCGAAAGCACGGGACACAGGCGACTTCAGCGGGCACCTTCTTTCAGCAGTTGGTAGAGACACAGGACGAGACACATCTCCCAGAGCGTTAAACACTCAGCGGACAGAAAAAGAGCGATTTCATTGCGCTCCCCAACTCGATGCTCCGCTTCGCCCAGAGGCCCCCGCGCCCCGCGCAGCACCGTCCGCGCGCGCCCGCGTTCTAAGAACCCGAATCTCGCCAAAGTCAGCGACAGGGAAAAAGATCCCCAGAGCCGCTTGGGGACAATTTTTTGTTACCAAAGAGGAGAGATCGACGTGGGGGCGGCGACCCAGGTCTCGGTGGCAGGACCCCAACCACCCTCGGGGCGCGTCCACACATCCTGGCCGCCCAGGCCTCTGCCCGCGCGCTCTCAGGCCCGCGCACCGCATCCAACCGCCCGCCCGGTGCCGGCAGCTCCCGGCCTCCCGGAGCGCCTCTGCGGAACAGGTGCGCGCGGCGAGGCCTGCCAGGCCGCAGCCCTACTCACCGGGTCCGGCGAGGGAGGCGCGGACTCCCCGGGGCAGGGAAAACACATACCCATGGAGACCACACCAGCGGGTCCCTGACCCGGTCCGCCCAGATCAGGCGGCGAAACTGCGCGGTCAGATGCGCGTCCCAGAAATTCCGCGCTCACCCCGCCCCCACCCGTGTCCACCCCCCGCATGGTCGCCATCCGACTCTGTCCCAGCCGCTCAGATCCGCCCCCACGAAGCAAGGCCCACCCTAAGTCCGTGGCTCCGCCCCTGCGAGCGGTGGGCGGGTGGACAGAGCGTAGGTCACCGAAACACCTGCTGCGGGCAGCTAGCGGGAAGGCATGGAAAAACCAGGTTCTGGTTTCTCTAAGCTCTTTCTGCGCTCCTGGTCTACCCGTATACAAATGGCTAGTACGAATCTGGATCGTTCGTGCTCTCGTTTGTGAGACTGGACTCTGGCCTCCAAGAAATCGAAGCCAGAATTGCACGTTCACACCTGCACCCTTCGCTGCCGTCTTCGGGGTGCTCAGTGCTGTTCTAATGGAGGTCAGAACACGAAATCCATCATTTGGTGTTGAATGCGGCCTCGTCAACGCAGCATTCATTAGTTGAGATTCTGCTAGTTTCAGGTATTTGGGTTACTTATTCCTACAAGGGCAATAATAAAGTTTCATCCCCAGGCATCTATTTAAATGGAAGAAGTTGATTTGGTGAGTCTACGGTGGGTCCTGAGATTTAGTTCTCGTAAATTCTCAAGTGATGCTAAAGTTACAAATCTCTTCTCCATACAAACGTGTTCATTTCTTTTTTTTTTCTTCTTGGCATTCTCTTAGTCCTGCTTGTTGGGAAATTTGCAAGGATTATGAAAAGTTAAGATGTAAAGTGGCAGTTAACATCTAAGAAGCTGCGGTTAACATTTTGATGTGTATTTTTTACAGGATGAGTGTTTGTGGATGTGTGCTTTACATAAATGTCATGCACCTTTTTAATTGTAGAGTTCACTGAGTTTTAACAAACATGCACCCAGGTAATTAATAATCACTACGTTTAAGAAACAAAAAATTTCCATCATCCTCCCAAATTCTCTTGTACCCATTCCCAGTTCTATCCCATACCTGGAACAAGGCAGCTATTAATATTTTAAGATCACTATAGTCTCTAGCAAGTTTAACGTAAATTGAACATGCAATATTCATGTTCTGCATATTGCATGATATATTTGAGATTCTTTCATGTCATTGCGTGAAAAAGTGGTTCAGGGTTCAAGGCCTTTGTCAGAGAAAATACAAATCTATAAAGGAGAAAAAAATTTTTTTCTGTTGAACTACCCACTTACTTCTATTTTACATTTTATTTAGAAAAATTGAAATCGTAAATATCATCTCCATCTTATTAAAAACATGTAAGACCTACTGAAAAAGCTAAATATGCCTCTTGCTAGTTTTGTGTCCCAGGAACGTCTTTGGAGGCTGAAGACTTCCCCTAGAAAAGTAAACATCCCAGATGGGCACTTGCCACCCTCCATCAGGGACATTTGAAGTCCCAGCACCTGACTCCACGATGGAGCTTTTTGTCTAAAAAAGGACATTTTATTTATTTATTTTTCCCGCAAGAAAAAGACAACAGGTTTGCAATGGGTTGCATTTGCCAGCCTATTTAAAGTGGTAGATTTCTTTTATCATTTCCAACCTCTTTAGCCAATTACCTATTTTGAAAAGCATAAGTGGCTCAGTATTTATTCTATCATAAAACTTTTTTTCCCTCTTTTCCCTTTCTGAAGAGGTTTTTAACCATTGGATGGAGTTTTTTCTCTTTTTTTTTTGTCTTTGGTTTAGACAGTAAAGCACGTTCTGTAATACAATTCCCATGTTTTTCAACACTTCCTATTTGCTTATTGATTTGCCAGTAGGTGTATATTTCAGTTGTTTCCAGTTGTTGTCACTAAGTATCAACATGAAACCTTTATAAGTCAGTATAAGTCTTTACGTAGACATATGTTTTTGTTTGTCTCAGGAAGCAACCTACGACTGGAATTTTTTGATCAAATGACAATATTATATGAAGCCACTAAACTTCCAACTAGGAAAGTAAAATACATTCCTACAAAGGGCATCATGACAAAACTCTATATTCAGGTATAGTTATTTATGTGAACATGTTTATTTTATCACTTTTGATAGAATAGCTAAGAATAATATAACTGAGCCATATTTCACATGCATAAAATATAGTTTGAAATTCTTTTTTTGGAGAGGTTTTTGCTATAAGGCGTGCGTGCTCACTAGAAAGACAGAGAGAGACAGAGAGACAGAAAGCAAGAAATCACCCCCTGGGTGGACGGCCACCCAGCAATCCCTTCTCCTACATTCTCTTCTTGGGATCCTGGGCATGCATGTACATGCGTCTGGTGTGAGTTTAAACCACGGGGTCTGTGACTTGAACCATGGTCAGGTACATGGGAGTCCAGCAACATAGCCATTACGGCAATTGCTGGTCCCAAGTTTGGAAGTTTTCTTAAGTTAGCTGGCTGATACCATTTCCAACCACATCAGAAATGTTTCTCATTCTAGCCAATAGATGGTGCTGTAGTCTTTTTTTTGTTTTTTTTTTTTAAAGAGCTGTTTGCTATAGGGCAGGTGCACTCAGTGGAGAGACAAAGAGAAATAGAGACAAAGAGAGACAGAAAGTGAGAAAACACCCCCCCAGGGGCCATGGCCATGCCATGATCCCTGTAAATGCAAATATAGTGGTAATCATTTGTATTTCTCATCTTTTCACATACAAGTTGTATATCTTTGTTATTATTACTATTTCAAATTTACTCTTAATATATCTTATATATCTTTATAGTGTACAGCGTTGTTTTATTCAGCATGAATATTGTGTGGACCAGTCAAGACAAAGACATTACCATATCCATAATCATCAGCAAATAGCTTTCCTTTATTATTATTATTTTTTCCAGAGGTTTTTGCTATAGGGCGTGTGCGCTCGCCAGAAAGACCGAAAGAGACAGAGAGATAGAAAGTGAGAAATCACCCCATAGGGGGGATGGCTCCGCCACAATCCCTTCTCCTCCATTCTCCTCTCTGGATCTTGGGCATGCACGCACACGTGCCCAGCATGAGTTTTAAGCCACTGGGTCTGGGACACGAACCCCGGTCAACTACATGGGAGTCCAGAAACATAGCCATTATGCTAACTGCTGGTTCCTGCTTTTCTTTCTTGATCAATCCATTCACCTAGAGCTTATTTATCATATTGATCTGTATAATGTTTAATGTTTCCGTATTATTTCTATTCATATTATCATAGTTCCTTCCTTTGACATATTTTGGGTTAATTTCTTCTTCTCTTCCTGTTCTCATAATATAAAGAATGAGATCATTGGTTTTCAATCTTTAGGAGAACATTACATTTTCTTCAAGCACTATTGGAGCTATATTCAAATATACCAAAAGTGCATTTTGTACTGAATTTTCCAACAGTCCAAAGTATTTTATTTCCATTCTGATTTATTCTTAAAGTTTATTTCTTTCTTTTATGAGAGTGGGGAGGGCACCTCCAACAGGATCCTCATGCCATAATCTCTTGCCAGTCTCAGCTAGACTGGATAACAAGCCTGCATACACCAGATGCTATAGACAGACCCCAGGACATGAATGGCAGAACTTCCCATAGTGCAGCACACCTATTTAATAGTAGTTATTGTTGCCTCTGTCAACAATGGATTGGGAGCCCCAGTACAAAGCTATAGGAATTGGCTTTCCCCTAACATCTGCAGAAACCTTCAGCTCTTGCTAGCTCAAGAGATGTGTCTGGCCAGTAAAGTCCCCCAGATCAACCCAGTACAGTCATGGAAACTGAACAAGCCTTGGCAAGTAGTTCAAGGGAGAAGTGCTACCACTAGTCCATGATTGTCTTCAAAAGGGTTGACCCAGCCCACAGTCTTTAAATGCAGGCCTAGGCTTAGTGAGAAGGAATGCCCAGGAACACAGCCAGACTCCCTAAATTCTTAGTCTTGGCTCTTATCTCACCCTTAACTCAGAACTAAGTTGTTGTGTTCTGCCTGTAATTCTCCTCCTTTCACCATGACCTGTAATGTCCCTCCAGGTCTTAAATGAGTAATCATAGGTCTCACCTTGTTTATTTCTCTTATCTCAGGGATCACAGTCTTTTTTAGACTTTTGTTCAGTTTCTGGATAATCATTGCTTTTAATATTTTGTCCTCGTTTCTATTTGCTTGTTGTGGGAGCATAAAGCTGGTACTTCCATCATTTCCAATGCAGAATTCCCAGGACCCCACTTTAAATTGCATTTTGGAGACTGTGAGTCAGTAACCGAATATAATGTTCATGTTAACCCAATAGTTGCTAAGTTTTTGAATTTAAAAATAATTGCAATACTTTCATTTGCATATTAGAAATTACTTGGGTAATTAAGCAGGCATTTCAAAAAGACAAATATGATTATAATTTTTTAATATAAAGAACGAAATTTTAATTCAGTATTTGAATTTTACCTTAAATGAAAATTTTAATTACACTATGACTTATTTGCAATATCAACACTTAACACAAGCTTGTTATATTATCATTTTCTTCAAGAACTACTTAAAAAATTTCTTTTGTTTAAGCAGAAGTCATTATAATTATACAGCAGAGAAAATATTTTCTTTTATTATTAAAGCATAATTTAAAATATCTAAATAAGCCATGCATTTAATTGCAGAAATTTAAACATGACTATATTATTTTTAAAGCCTATACATATTTAAGTTTCAAAATTGCCACAGAATGGTAGTAAGATATAATACTTAATAAAATTCTAGAGCCTCTAACTTGGATGTTAAATGCTTGGATTGTTTTTATTTTGTTGAGATGTCATAGTATTGCTTTTATTTTCCAAATGAAATGAAATCATGACATGCAACTTGATGTTAGAAATCCACCTGTTTTGGTCTGGAGCATGATTTCTTCCACACTGACTCCTGCTTTATCAAGACGACCACTAGATAAGATTAAAAAGCACAAAAATAAATTCAATTAAAATATGTGTAAGAAAACCATCAAATATCTAAAAGTGGTCTCAGAAGGACAGCTTTTCCTATATAAAATATATTCTATCGAACAATTCCCTAATAGGTAGAAATGCTATTCCATCAATAAATTACAGTAAGGTCACAGATTGAAGCTAGATGTGAGAAGCACTAGTATGAAATAAGTCATATATGGAGATGGATATGATTCAAAAAAATTCTCTGAGTCAGAAAATAAATATTGTCAGCAGAAAGAACTGCTAGAAATCTAAGCCCTCACTTTGGAGAAAGGTCAGAGTGATTTCTAAGTATAATGTGACAAAGATACTAAATATAGGAATTTCCCCCCACCACTTCATGTTCTGTGATTGACAGAGAAGCACATTCTAAGCATCTTTTGAGAGTATATATGTTATATTAAGACATACATACTCAAAATGAGATGAGAAATCATTAAATGAAATATTTTATCTTCCTTATTCTTAGTTGATCTTAGTGATATTAGTTTATTCAAAATGATAATAGCAACCGTATATGAGGTGGATATGTGAAATGAATATGAGTAAGTGAAATAGGTGGATAAGTGAAATGAATGGCAGCATGTTACTAAGAATAGGAAAGAGGAAATGGATTGTCTAAGACAAGGTACCTGCTTCCCTAGGAAACGGTGCAGTGCTATTTGAAAACAGACTTTAGCTAATTGTAAATGTGCACTACAAACTCAAGGGAAACCACTAACAAAAGTAAAAAGCAAAAACAAAAACAAAGCTAAACAAATGTAATTAATATGCTAAAACAGGAGAGAAAATATAAATGTTTATTTATATAAAATGCTCAAGTCCAAACAAGGCAGAAAAGAGTAATAAGGTAGATGACAAATAAAAGAATAAGACCACAATTAGAAGCAGTAACAGGTAAGCCAGAAGTTAATCTAACTGTATCAATAATCACTTTAAGGGAACCAGCAGTTAGCGTAATGGCTATGTCGCTGGACTCCCACGTAGTCGACCGCGGTTCGTGTCCCGGACCCGGTGGCTTAAAACTCACGCCGGGCGTGTGTGCGTGCGTGTCCAAGATCCCGAGAGGAGAATGGAGGAGAAGGGATTGCGGCGTGACCATCCCCCCTGGGGGGTGATTTCTCGCTTTCTGTCTCTATGTCTCTCTCTGTCTGTCTGGCGAGCGCACGCGTCCTACAGTGAAAATCTCTCAAAAAAAAATAATCACTTTAAATGACAATTATCTAAATATGCCAATTAAACAGTCTCTCAGAATGGATAAAAAGTCAAGACACAACTGCATATTGTCTACAAGAAACCCACTTTAAATATAAAGACAAATAAAAAAAAAAAGGATTGAAAAAGATATACCATGCTAACAATAATTGAAAGAAAGCTGGAGCCAAAAAAATCTGAATAGACACTCGCTAAGGAAGTTATATAGATGGTATAACAGAGAAGATGGTCAATATCATATGTTATCAAGGAAATAGAAATTAAAACAATGAGATAACACTATGCACCTACTGGAGTAACTAAAATCCAAAGCACTGATATCATGAAATGTTGATGAGGATGTGGAGCAACAGAAACACTCATTCATTATTGGAGTTAATGTAATGGCATAGCTACTTTGGAAGACAGTTTAGCAATTTCTTAACAGAGCTAAACAAAACCTTACCATAAGATCTAACAATCACACTCCTACTCATTTATCCAAGAGTTGAAAACTGATATTCATACAAAAATCTGCACATGGATGTTTATAACAGTTTTATTAATGACTGCTAAAAATTGAAAGCATCCAAGATATCCTTCAATAGACGTATGAATAAACAAACTGTGATACAATAGGAAACTGACTCAGCTGGTATATTCTTTTTTGTCATTTGTCTTATCCCTGTTTCCTCTTGGAATGTGGCTAGGATGTCTATAGATACAGAAGCCATTCTGAGACTGTTAATAAGAGCCATGTGACCAGCAGGGCACATCAGTCAGAAGGAACGGAGAATTCCTTTGATAATTTGTGAATATACCGTATCCATCCCTGACTTCCCAGTCATGAGTTTTTGTTTGGAGAAATGATAAACTCCTATTTGGTTAAAATGCTGCTGTACAGTTTTGGTAATTAAGGAGTTAAAAGAGCAATTCCTAATATAGCAATTAGTTGTGCTCACAAAATATTTTCTTTCAAAAATAAAACCCAAAGTAAAAAAATCTTAGTTACTGGAAATGTCACTTTTCCCCAATTTTCTATATGAAATATCCACCTGATCTTGGAGATTGCTTAACAATATACCGGAAGAAAAATAGGTAAGGGAAATGTGGATTTTTAAACTGAAGAAAAGTTGGAAGTTGGAAAAGAAAGATAATAATTGTCCCCCTCCAATATTTGAAGAACTTTCAAATGGCAGGGTCACCTGATTTATGTGTAATTACAGAAAATATCATTCATACCATGTAGAAAAGGCTCATGGATGCAATCTCATATATTAAGTGTGAGAACTTTCAAATCCTTGTCAAAGATATGCAACTATAGAATAAGTGGTGATTGGTGTGGAGAGTTTTCTGATGTTGCCTCAAGAATACTATTTCAAGAGGGACCAGCAATTAGTGTAATGGTTATGTCGCTGGACTCCCATGTAGTTGACAGCAGTCTGAGTCCTGGACCCGGTGGCTTAAACTCACGCCAGGTGAATGTGCGTGAGTGCCCAAGATCCCGAGAGGAGAATGGAGGAGAAGGGATTGTAGCATGGCCATCCCCCCTGGGGGGGTGATTTCTCGCTTTCTATCTCTCTGTCTCTCTCTATCTGTCTGGCGAGCGCACACGCCCTATAGCAAAAACTTCTCCAAAAAAAAAAAAAAAGAATACTATTTCAAGAATACTATTACATATCTTATGTCCTGTGAAGACAATAGTAAGAAAAAGAAAATGAAATCTGTTCATTTCAGTGAAATCTCTATGCTTACCAGGAGTCCTGGTTCTGGAATAGGAGAAGGCTTTGCAAACCGTTTACTTAATTTCCTTTTCTCTTTCTTTAGGTTTTGCAAATTCCGAATACGTTTATCTGCAGACTTTAGGAAAATTAAAAGAAAACGAATCATACTGCTTATAACATAAAAGTAACATGCTGATTATATTTTTAGTATGTGTTAATAAAAATATGATAAATCAGCACAATGAATGCATATGATTGAGGTAGCTCTTTTTCCCTAAATATGTGTTTCACAGGTGAAGTACACATGTCAGAGAACCAGTGGGATTTTCAAATGAGACTACATACTCCTTATTTTCAACTTCTTCACTGTGTGTATTTAGATACATCCAGACTCATGGACATGTGAGCTTACTGTTATTTTAAAGGTACTGTTTATTAAATAAAACCCAAGGGGATTGTCTTTATAGACATATAAACAAAAGTCCATTCTTTACTCCTCTTAAATGTTGCATGTCATGCATAGATTTTTATGCCATTGTATGGCATTACAAATACCAGAGACCTAAGGAATTAAACTGGTAAGATCTGAAGTAAATTAGATACAATATTAGAGTAAAAGGGACAAAGACAAGAATTTTTTTTACAAGTTTTTGCCATAGGGTGTATGCATTCCTCAGAGAGACAGTGAGAGAGAAAGTGAGAAATAACCCCCAAGAGGCATGTCATGCTGCAATCCCTTCTCCTCCATTTTCCTCCTGGAAATTTGGGTTCACACACACACATGCCTGGTGTGATTTTCAAGCTATTGGGTCTGGGACTCAAACCATGATTGGCCATGTGGAAGTTCAGTGACATAACTGCTATGTCACCTGCTGGCCCCAACAGGAATTATTTTGTCCACTGCCAATCAGAGTGTAAATTGATACAATTGCTATAAAAAAAAATGTGGCATTACTTTACAACAATGAAAAATTTGTTTTCTTATAATCTAGCCATTCTTTTCCTATCTGAAAAATGAGATGAAATTTGTGTGCATAGAGAAAGAAGACATGTAATTGAATGTTCACAGTAGCACTGTGCATTCTAGAAAAGTAGAAATGACCCAATGTCTATAAACAATAGAAAGGATTAATGAACTGTGATTGTCCCACAATGCAATATTAAAGAGCAGTGAAAGCAAAGGAACGGTGGCTCTATTTGGCAATGATAACGAATCTTAGGAAACAGTGTTGAGAAGAGTCAATTAGGCACTGAATTTTGTGTGCTCTTATGTTCCTCAAGATCATAGAGGGACATATGTGACAAACTAGCAAAAAAAAAAAAAAGAAATTGATTAAAAAAATTGAAGATAGTGGTTAATCTAGGAGAGATGAAGGAAGGTAGAATAGGGAAAGTCCCTAGAGAGACTCAAGGATACCCCTAATGTTTGACTTCTTAAGTTAGAGGTCTATTTTATTTTTCTGCTTTACGATTACACGTGTTATATATATTTTTGTATACACATTGGATATTGCATTAAAAAAATGAGGATATGGTTGGTCCACAGGGGTAATAGGCTGCTCAAGAGCATTTCTCCTGGCAACTGGGATTCCACTTGGCAACCACGGTTGGTATCCCAGCTCAGCCAGCCTGAGATATGCCAGGCATGTGTGTGTGTGTGTGTGTGTGTGTGTGTGTGCGCATCCAATATCTGGTGGACTGGAGGAAGGGGATCATGGTGTTACCAGGCCCTGGAGAGTGTTTCACTTCCTCTCTCTCTCTCGCTCGCTCTCTCTCTCTCAGTTGGTCCCATAACCCAGTGTCTAGGTGCTGTGCATCGGGAGCCGGATCTCACATAGCCCCCTGCAAATCAAATTTCAGCCATGCCGTAAAAAAAAATCCTACACCAGGCTCCTGCATGTAGGTATCCAAAGTCTAGAGATTGGAGAAATGGAGGAAAAGGGATTGTGGCATGGCCACCCCTATTGGAAATTCTCATGTGCTCGCTCTCATAAGCACAAGTACCCTCTGGCAATTAAAAAGAAAAAAGAATGTAAGTCATTTTGTTTACTCTTGTTAAGTTCCATTCCAAAAGTAGTGACATGCTGAAACCTATCTACATGTAAAGGGACAAGCTGAAAGCACGTGTTGAAATAACCAGCCACAAATAACAATATAATATTTATTATGACAATGTAAACGTGTAACCTTTGTTTAAACATTACCTGCCTCTCTGTGATGTATGAAGGATGCTGCCATCTTGATTCTTCCTACACATATGTAAAATGTGAAACACACACACACATAATAAATAAGTCATAAGAAAACAGAAATGAATTATAATAGAAAGTCCATGCTACCTTTTATTTAGGTAGTACTAGGAATGTACTCTCGACTGTGAGAAGCAGGATCAGAATAAAAAATATCTAAAGTAAAAACTGGGGTGAAGGATGGAGATAGTACTGTGAGAAAAAAAGAACTAGCTATAAATCGGGAACAGGCAGAGTACTGAAATTTATTCTAGAGGAAAAGAGTTTGAAGTCAGATGTTCATGTAGGTGTGGTACATGGTTTCAGGGTCCCATCCTCTCTTCTCTGACCCAGCCTTCTATCTGTCGTCACCCACCTGGGAAATCTAGGGTGACTGAGGTGGGTGGTTTTCTGAGCCTGAGTTCACGAGGTTCCTATGTCCCCTTCTAATTTATTATTATTCTTTAAAATCATGATTTCTGGTTTAAGTATTCTCTGCACAAATTTATGAGGTACATTACAGTTTTTAACACAAGCATACAGTGCATAATAATCATGTCATGGATACAGACATATTCAATTTTTGACCCTTGAGCATTATATTACCTTGTGCACATTCAATAATAGTTCCACTAGCTTTTAATTAAAAAAATATACTGAATTTCTAACTCAGAGTTTGAATACATCCCCACTTCTCCATTTTTATCCAATTACTTAACCCAGAGTCCCCAAAGCAATCTCCTTCACATCTGATATTGAGAACTATCCTGATCCAACCTCCATAATCCCCACCCCACTTCCTAGAGAGGGTCACCGTTTCAGGCTCAGACTTCAGTTGACTGAACATGTCTGACCCCTAGCGGGGCGAGGTGGGGCTTTTCCTTGTCCTAGGTCTGTAGGGCTGCGCAGATCTAGACTCTTTCAGCAGATTTCTCAACCACCCAGCAGTGAAACACAGGGGCAGTGGCTGAAAGCACCTACGACCATGGTCACTGGGACCTTCAGCAAAGGGCCAGCGCAGGGGCAGCCGAGGCGAGGTTGGTGGCCTCTGAAAACTCACAGCGTTGACTTGGGCAGGTTCTATGTCCCGAAAGTGCAGGCACATGATACAGAGCCTCCAGGGAGGATCCCTGGTGCCTACTCTGCAATCCAGGCCAAGCAAAGGCCAGGTATACCACCCACCTCCCCGAAGCCAACCCCAAGCTCCGCCCACCCCTTCACCTCACAATTCTCTTCATTCTCTCCTGGTGGGCCCCACCCTTTCCTTAGTTGTCATCCAGTCCCAGGGCAGACATGGCAAAGTCCCTAGAGGTTCACAAAATGTCTTAGAATTACGGAGTTCAGGTCATTGTGATTCTGTTCATCCTGTCCCTCTGGATCAGAAAACCACATGCTACCAACTTTCCATATTTTCTAGTCCCTTTATGAGGTCCCATTTATTTGCTGACAGATCTTGCTTTGCCTCTGGCCTATCGTTTCAGCTTCTCTATCCTTGTCTGGGTTCTCAATTCCTTCAGCTCATGGTTCTTCCCTTACTGGATCAACCTAACTGCTTCTGCCTTCTTCCCATCTGTCGATACCAGGCTGAAGAGGAAAGACTGAAACTTAAATATGGCTGCAATACATGTTCATGATGTCCAACGTCGACTTGGCCTCAGCTCTGCTAACCACTTCTTTTGTGCTGCACGACCTCTTTTCTGCACTCTGCAGGATTCCCTTCAAACTACTTCCCCTGCATTAACATCTCTGAACCTAATATGGTGGTCCCCTACAGTAGCAGGACAACTCTTGCTATGCACACTTAAAATGGCTAACACACACAGCCTATTATGTCAGCACTCCTAGGCGAATCTCTCCGGGTCTGTCAATCAGTCCCTTAGACAACCCTAAGGAGTAGCGTGTGGTTATTGTTATTGGGAAAAAAGACACTGTCCTGTCAAATAACTTGCCCAATTTATACAATTAGTAAAAGAGTGAGCTGGAATCGGGACTTAAATCCACACAGTCTGCCTTTAGATCTGGTACACTTTAAAAACATGTATTTATTCCATGAATAAGAGGGGCCGATCCAGAGAGAGACAGAGATAGAGCACCCTCTATAGGGTATTGTCACTGTGCTCCACCCTCCAGCTTCAGCCAGCCAGGATCATGGACACACATGTGTCTGGTATTCAGAGGTGTCTTCAGACACGAAGTGGCAACCTTCCTATGTGGATCCAACTGGAGAGCGTTTTCCTTTTCCTGCAGCACGACCACCTTTCCCCAGAACATGCCCTCTCCATCATGGTGTGCTACTAATTGTTTTTGAAACCTCAAATCCTTCCCACTATAAGCCTGCAATCTTCTCTGTATCCACATGATCTCTTTTCCCAGAATTCTGCTTAAATGGCAAAAGTTGGCATCCCTCCTCTTGTTTCAAATCTCTTTGATTCTGTTTCCATGCCTCCTTTTCCTCTCTATTAACCTTTCCACATTGCCTTTTCTTTAAACATTTAAATACTATATGCTCGAATTTCCCCCTCTTCAAAATAATACAGGAAGCTCCTCTTCCCGTTTTTAAAAATTTTCCAGAGGGTGTGTGCACTTGTAGGAGAAGACGAGAGAGAGAGAGAGAGAGAGAGAGAGAGAGAGAACACCCCATGTAGGATACTAAGGACAGAAATCTCACTGCTTTTTCCTATTTCCAAAATCCCCTCCATAGGGCAGAGAGTGAATCAATCCCTCATTTGATAACAGAACTCTTACTTCATCCTGTCCCTAGCATAGTATCCTTGCCATGACTGAATCACACCCACAAACATTAAGAGGCCATCTTGACTTATTGATAACAGGACTCTTCCTACATCCTGTTCTTGAGACAATATCTCGTGCCATATACAAGCTCCCTTACCTCTGTTATAGTTCACTGCTTGCTGATGGCTCCCCGAAACATAGACCTCCCTTTCCAATGACCAACCTAAAGATAGTAAAACCTACCTATGGCCTAGAAGACCCTGTTTCCAGATATCTCAGCTCTTTGGGCCAGACCAATGAAAGATGTCTTACCACTAAATTTCAAACCTTGTCTCTCACTACCAAAATCAAAGTTAAAAGAACCCTTGTACCTGATCACACCAAGAAAGACACCTTTGCCTTTTCTCTAAGCCTAGGTCACACACATTGTGCTTAGAAATAAGCTGTATTAATTATTATTTCTGTAGAGTTGGTTATTTCCACTGACAATAGTCACACTACAGTCCGTTTTCCTCCATTTCTCCCTCGTTTCGGGATTTTGGGCATGCACACTCATGCATTCACTGTGTTTCTCAACCCCACGCATCCAATCAACCATATGGGATTCAATCATCTTAATCAACACACAAGTGACTGACCAAAGAAAGCTCCTTTGCACAACAACTAATCATAGCTATTTTCTCTCTCCTGTATTTATAGTAAACTTTGATGAGAGTGTCCTGCTTCCTGCCTTCTCTTCTTTACATTTACTGTCGTGTGTGGCTTATTGAAACTTGCTTGACCTCCATGATTCTGCTGGTTCTCATCTAGAAATGATACTTATTGAACATTCTGCTGAATTCAGTGGATACCTTTTACCCCATGACTTCAGCATAGAGTTAAAAGCTGTTGAGAGGTCTCTTGGATGGAGTTAGGCTTAGAAAAATTATCTTGCTCAAGTATAGTGCTCAAAATCTTTGACTACTTCCTTTTTCAAAGTCTCCTCTCTGGGATCAATAAGTCTTAGAAAAATTCTGTAATCTTGCACATAATCATAAACCAGAGATTAGCTTGAAATCTTTTTTTCCCCAATATATTGCATTGTCTCAAGAATGTATGTTTTGGATACTCACTAGTATCCTAGTGCATGTCTTACTAGGTCCCATGAATAGAAAAATGAATACATTAAATTATTGCTCTCAAGGAAAGTCAGACAAATTAGCAACAATGAAAAGGTAGAATAGTGAGGTTTAAAAATGACACATGTAGTTGAGCCATCCAAGGACCTCCAGTTTTCTCTGAAGGTGAGCCAAGAAGCCTTCCCAGCAGAGTAGGAGTTTACCAGATAGTGAAAGAAAGCACATTACTGACAGGACAGAGGTGTGTTCAAACGGAGTACGGACCAACATCATGGGTGTGATGAACTGGAAGCTATTAATTTGCTCTCACTCTCTAAACATAATTTCTCATTGACCTTCCTGCCACTTTATTTTATATTAAAAAAATAAGGGCTAAAGTTGAAATAAAACAATGATTAGCTGAAATGAGATACTATGAGACTTCAATTAACGAATACTTCAAAGTAACATGCTTGATTCTGAAATCAGAATAATAAGTTACATGTATCAGTCAAGTGGAACCCTAAAGAGTTCAAATCTTGCATTAAGCACTTGAAAACTCTTACGACACTGGCCAATTAGTTATCTAATATTATACCCTTAATAATATTTTCTACATGTCTTAAATGGGAATGATAGTATCTAACAATATAGTATTATTATAAGCATTAGAAATAATGTAAATTAAAATAATTAAGGAATTGGATCCAGTACCTGTTAGCTAATGGTTACCCAGTAATGGTAACTGTATTTATATTTTACTATAGATTACATTGTAGAATCATCTAAATGGAAAGAACTTTAGATATTTTCCACCCCAATCTCTGATCTGATACTTGAAATTATTTCAGTAATAATTTAATAGCAGTCCAACTTCTTTTTGATTAAATTAGTAGATGGGACATTCACTCCAGTGCATATGTTTTTTGGCACTTTTGATTATTGTGATGTTCTAACCAGTAATATTTGAAACATATCACTCTGTTACTTCCACTCACTAGTTCTAGTTATATTTTCATGGCCCTCACAAAATAAACTCTCTCTTCTACAGGATGATGATGGGGAAAAGAGGCCGAAATTTTCAGAATCTAGAAGGCCCACAAACTAGAAATTAGATCTTTTGGGTATTGAGACGGGTGTTGCCAAGTTGAGCTAGTGTGGGACATTGTGTAGGGGAGAATTAGGAGATCCTGCAGAGCTGGGACTTGGAGACTTCTTAGAAAGAGGCACTATCGCTCCTCCGGGATCAAGTGTCATTGCTAGATTGGCACTGGAAACAAGGAAGTAAGAATGGGCAAGATCCCTTTCTCCTCCATCTTCCAACCTTTCTCTAGTGCTCCATATTGACTAAACCTACTGGGATTCCAGCTGGCTAAGTTTCCAGCTTTGTATTCCTAAAGAGGAATAAAAGATGAAGAATTTCAACCATGGCTTCACAAACTATTAGAAAGTGGGAGAGTAGAGTTAGACGTAGAAGACAACAGATAAGAGGCACAGCAATCATTATGTCCTGAGCCCTGTACATTCCTTCAACTATACCTCTTTGAGAATAATTTCAAGAATCCCAATAACCCAGGTGGATAACCTTTGTTACACTATAGTCAACCAACGTCCTGAATAGAAAGGCAATCTCAAAGGTGATCTCAAAATTGTGATTTACCAAGTGTGATGGTCAAGTTTCTATGTCCCTTTGATTGAGTAACAGAATGGCCAGACAGTTGGTCAAACAGTATTTGGAGTGTTGCTGTGTTTTTAAATAAGATTAACATTTAAATTGGTAGATTAAAGCAGGTTATCCTCCATGTGTGGGTGGCTCTCATGCAGTTAGTTAACGGCCTCAAGAGAGTGCGAGTTTGACACTCGTTTCCCTGATTAAGAGAGAATCCTCCTGCCTGATAGCCTTCGAATGGGGACATTGGCTCTTCCTGGTTCTAGGTAGCCTGTCGGGTTTCAGACTCCAACTGGGACATTGGCTCTTTTTGAACTTGACAGCCTCCCTAATCACATGAACCAATTCCTTGTAATAAATATCTATAGGAAATAAAATATGTATATATACTTATAGGTGTATGTGTGTGTGTATGTGTGTAATTATGTTGTATATAATAAACAGTATAAAAGCAGGATACAAGGCTATCTCTGTCACCAACAGACCACATATTCTTTGGAAGACACACAAAATTATACTAGCGGTGAAAATTTCTTTCTCTGAATGATGTCATAATCATCACAATGCTCGGTTCTGAAAGCACTATTTGTGGGAAGTTCCTTGTATAAGGATTCCATTTTCCAGCTTTTGTACCGTATTTTTACTGTTCCCTTTCTCCATTTATATACACACATATTTACCATTGTGTTGTTATTGCCTTTAATAGGCATA